AGATAGATAGATAGATAGATAGATAGATAGATAGATAGATAGATAGAGGCAGGTGGGCAGGCAGGCAAGAGATGGTCTTTTCTCATTCTCTGGCTTTAGCCAAACTATCAAAATAATTAAAAGGATAAAAAATGTTGCTATGAATGTCCTTATCCTCTAAGATACGAATCTGAGTGTTGCATTACAGATTGGCTTATTTACATGTACTTCAAACAGCATAGATGTCCTGTCCTGACTCACCCGACCAAAGCAGGGTTAATGGCTTATATTCTGTAGCTTGCACTTATTTACTTCAAGTATCACAACTCATCCTTTACGGAAACTGTTTCTATCAGGTTGGAAAACTTTTATTAATACCTGGGAGCTACAGCAGTAGAGGCCTAATCACTCAATGCAATAGAGCGAAGCAGCCAGGCTATCCATCCTACATTATTCAGCCATTCGATCTGTGTATACTGCATTGTGGCATTGTGCATTGTGGCTGTTTCTAAAGAGTTGAATATACATTACAGCAAAATGCCCTTCATCCCGTTCTCTTGTTACAGTCTGGAGGAGAAGCACTATGTCCAAGACGCTGCGCCCATTCTGCGAAATAATTCCACCAGCTCCCATTGTTCAGCTGTTCATTCACAAGCACAAGGCTGTCTTGAGACAGTCAGAGGCAGGTGGGCTTTTTCTGTCCACCCGACTTTTCTAATTGTTCCTCAATGTTTTCTTGGCCAGCATCCACACATGTGCAGTCACACACTTTAGCTTCATTGAGAGTGCAGTTGAGAAAAAAATCCATCATTTTAAAATATGGGAGAATTGAAAGTATGGCAATATGTCTAAGATCTGTTTTCTTGGCTGCTTTATCTTCAGGTTGTATAATGTAAGAGGAAGATTCAGAGTTTCTGTCTCAGATCTCCTTCTCCTCCTATAGGACTGTATATTAGATGAACCTGCCCCTGTGAGGTAGATATCCTTTGGAAGATTCACTGGGGCCTTTTCTCCTCCCCAACCAGGAATATTTTACTAACATTTAAGAAACATTTATATGAGGCACTTAACTGTTGTAGGGGCCATATTTCTTTAATCCGCCCAATATAATCTGTTACCATGAACATCCGATCACCAAAAAAACACTTTTACTCTTTTCTTTGAGCATTACAATTATTCTATTTAGTCAGATGATACCATTTTTCAAAATATTAATTATCTTAGAGGGTTTTTAATGAAATCTATGTTTGAGATTTAGTTTCTTCCCAGTGAGCAAAGACTTTAACAAATGATTACACATTGTTATTATTATAGTGTTGTTATTTTTCACATACTTTTGCCTGGAAGGTTTACACATAGATACATATATATGTACACATACACACACATATATTCACATGCTGTCACAGTACAGACAGACATGCATACACAGAATTAGAGGCTGAGTAAATGTTCCACACAACTTCATATCCTCCTCCATCTCAGACATTGGCTGTTTTCTTTTGTAAATTGCAACAGCAAAAGTTGGCTTTTAAGACCAAAGATTATTATAGGAAGGAGCAAAGTTATATTGCAACATAAAATACTTTCTGCAAACTCTTTTTCCTCTGTGAAAGGAAAAAAAAACCCAGAAAGGTGAGTAAATAACAGAATGGACAGAATGAGGAAGAGTTTGCTACTATTCACAGTCCAAAAAAATGGATAAAGCTAAATATTCAGTCAAAGTTAGTATAAAGTAGAATGACTCTTAAGTAGAAGTTGAAATTCAGTTATACAAAATGTTGGTATCCATTTAAATATGTATGGAAACTGAATGTGTTTACAAATCGCATTCTGATTATTGTTCCACGAAAGAAAAGAAAAGGGGATTTCAGCTAATGAAATGAATAACCTATATCGTTCAGTGCAGGTGTAACCATTTACGATCATTATTGGATTCAAATTATATCTCAATATCTATCCTTTCTTTTCAAAACAGATGAGGCAGTATCTATAATTCCAAGCAGCCCAGCAGATGGAGGAGAGAACCTGGGCAAGGAAAAAGGTACAGATCACGAAACTGGCTAAGAAAAACCAAATCCTCAAAGGGGATTTTAAAAAGCAATATTTTCTGTTAAGCCTACGAAAACCCACGCTCAAGCTTTAAAGGCCAGATGTCAGATAAGTACTTCTGGGATGTCTTTTAGAAAAGCCTTTTTAATGAACCACTTGGCATCATAGTTGCCGGCGGGGATCAATGGCATGCATTTTCAACTGCAGTTATAGATTTCCCATAAAAAAATATCTTGTGGGTCATAGGGAATGGCGAGACACATATCTGTGGGAATGCTCACATCCATAAATGTACGCTTGCTTCCATGACAGCAACATTTGATCTGTCTGCTGCAGTGTGATTCAAAAGGAAAGAAAACAAAATTGACTATCCAAGGCAGAGCTGAGGGAAGATCCTCTTCATTTATGACAGACTGTGCTGGGCACTCTGGTCTTTTTGGTGTGTTTGCTGTTTGTTTGTTTGTTTTGCTTTGTAGTCTTGATTCCTAATGGTGACATGGATAAGTACCTGCAGTTTTTCTAGGCAGGTTGTTTTTAGAAGTGCTTTAGCCTTTCATTAATACTTAAAAATCAAGGAGTTACAAGACAAATTGAAATAACAGAGAGTTGATACCTAATTTAATCTTTTCCAGCTGAGTTTTACCCTCTTGGGTTGCTCATCTTTCAACAAAGAATGAATTATAGAATCGTACTGCTCTTGCATGACATCACTGCATTAATTGGTAATGCTTCCTTTTCATTCTTCTGGATCTATCAGTAATGAGCATGGAACACAGTTTTTAAAATTGTAGCTTTGAATAATTCAAAGCAGGGTCCTTCTGCATCAGCATATAGCATTCAAACAAGCACAGTGGAAAAATTAATGTATTTTGTGGTATAATATATTTATTTATTGCATTTGTAGAGCTGTCCATTTTCCCAAGGAGGTCTGGGCAGTGAACACCAAGCCTAATCAAAAAATGACAATATAACTCAAAAGAAATTGGGCCAAGTTGCCTAATATGTTTGTTATCAATGTCAAACAAAATTACATCCATACCAGAGTTCCATCAACAACCTAGGCCTCAGTTTTGCAACCTTTTGAATGACCAGTGAGGTTAGGGGCTGCCTGTATTTCAGGGGGAGGCTGTTTCAAAAGACAAGGTGTCATGACAGTTCAATCACATGTAAGAAGTGAAGAAGGTAATAGACCCAATCCATTACCAGAACAACAAGTGGAAAAGTGTGGTTTGAATCCAAAACATGAAAAGGGCATGTGCACAAAGCTCAGTTAGACACCTTCTGAATTCACATAAGTATAAGGGATGGGAAGAATAAAAGCACAGTCCTGCAAAATTCTGTCGCTCTAACCAGTAGTAATAAACGTAGTTTTAACCTTCATGTAGAACTGATTTCTTGGCTTGGTCTACATAGTAGGGCTGACAACATCCTTTGTGGGGCCCATCAGGTAACTTGGAGCATGCCCATTCTGCAAGATAAAGTAAGAAAGAACGAAAGAAACCATGAGGGATAGGTAATGGCACAAGACCTTGCCCCATGACATGTGGGGCTTTAAAGAGGAAAACCCACATCTTGAATTGCACCTAGAAGCCACTTGGGAGACGGTATTATTCATGTAGTAGTGTTAGATAGGCATATCATGGCATTCTGCATATGCTGTTGTGTTTTGGAATAGTTAAATAGTTGAAATGTCTGGATGCCATTTAAGGATAGTGTGATGTACTAGTCCTATTGAGAGATTACTTAGGCATGGATGATTCTGAGTAATGCTTCTCAGTCTAGTGCACAAGATATAACTATGGAAAGGTCTTCCTAGCCATCGCTACCACCAGCCCAAGTAAGACCCATGAGCAAGGTAACTCCAGATTGTGTACCAGTTCTTCTATGGGGAGCAGGAATTCCATCCAGAGTTAGATGATATCCAGTCGGTAGGTGCCAGAGGCCCTAAAACCCACAGCTTTTCAGTCTCATCAGGGATGAGCCAAAACCAATTCTTTCTGGACTTGATCTACATAGCCTCCATGCACTGAGTAAACACTTCAATAGCACCACTTTGATGGTTCAGGGCAGACGTACTGTGTATAGCTGAGTTTTATCCACAAACTATTGACAGTTAACCGTGCCGTGTCCTGTGCTGCAAATAACCTCACCCAGTGGTTTTGTAGAGATGTTAAATAAGAGTAAGGGAAGAACTGAGTCCTGTGGCACCCCACAAAACAGAGACATTGAGCTGGAACTGGAGCTTCCATCATATCACCTAGAACCAACCTTGGATGAAGGAAGAGAACTCCCCTCTCAGGATGCCAGAGGAACTGGTCATGAGGTGGACATTTGTGCATTCATATCAACAAAAGCATGCTTGTGAGAATGAGGAGCATCTCCTGCTCTCAAAGTTCTATCCAATAAATCTTTCAATGGGAATAGGAGGCAAGATACAAGTAAACTGAGCATGGAAAGCAAATGCTTAATTGAATTGATACCAAGAATGGAAAGGACAATTACATTCAAAAGGAGAGACTATAGGCTCCTTATCTGTTTTTTTGAAGCACAGAGTTGTTTCCTGAACTTGGCAAGACTTCCTTGGAAGAAGAAGCAGAAAAAGACTAGCTTGGTTGGTAAAGACTGATCAGCAAAATAGTTTTTATAACGTTTCTCTATCTGCTTACTTTGATCCATCCATCTTTGGAATATGGACTAAGTAATTTCACAGGGGTGGGGGAAACCCTTAGATGGCATTTTTCCAACTGGGACACTTTCCAGTTTATACAAATAACAGAGAGACGCCTCATCATCATGTTCCACTCCAAGGGAGAACTGCTGACAAGTTAAAATGGCAGAAATCATAATTAAAGTTTTCTTGCACTTCAGCAATGTTTTTATAGTTTCTATCTACCCTTCACATTAATAAGTTGCCCAATAAGTAAATTATCAGAGTTTGATACACACACAGCCTCAGGAGAGTTAAAGTCCACGAGATGGAGAGTGTAGTTTTGCAGCCAAAGACTTGTATCTTTTGTATATGTACAGATAGTTCTCGACTTACGACCACAATTGAGCCCAAACTTTTTGTTTTGTTAAGCGAGGCATTTGTTAAATGAGTTTTGCCCCATTTTATGACTGTTCTTGCCACAGTTGTTAAGTGAATCACTGCAGTTGATAAGTTAGTAACACAATTATTACTTAAATCTGACTTCCCTGTTGATTTTGCTTGGCAAAAGGTTGCAACCTTGGGACATAGCAACAGTCATAAGTATGAACCAGTTGCCATGTGCCTGAATTTTTATCACATGTTCATGGGGCTGCTACAAAGATCATAAGTGTGAAAATTGGTTATAAGTTACTTTTTTCAGTGCTGTTGTAACTTTGTACACTCACTAAATGAACTGTTGTAAATTGAGGACTACCTGTCCATGATGGCATCATTCATACAACCTGGGCTTATTAGGACAAAATGATACTTTTGATGTCATTCAATTCCAATTCTGGATTCAGTATCATCCAAAGAGCAGCCAGCAGTTTTTGATTATTTCTATATTTTCATTTATACCACAATGAAACAAATCTGATGAAGTCTTTATAACGGAGGAGGAGGAGGAGGAGGAGGAGGAGGAGGAGGAGGAGGAGGAGGAGGAGGAGGAGGAGAAGAAGAAGAAGAAGAAGAAGAAGAAGAAGAAGAAGAAGAAGAAGAAGAAGAAGAAGAAGAAGAAGAAATAATAATAATAATAATAATAATAATAATAATAATAATAATAATAATATGGTATATACCACTCTGCCATTTATGAGTTGCTGCTATTCTTGCTATGACTTTACACCTTCTTAATTGTTACATGGAATCTGAACAGGGGCACCTCATGTCTATTAAATATTTAAACGAGGTAGTGTTTGTAAATAAGTTCATACTTATTCAGATTGTTTCCCTCTCTCCCAGGCCAGTGTACTGCTTCCACCAGCAATATATGATGCCTTGCAATCTCTGCAGTTTGTTCGGTTTCTTTGTCCTACTCTTGAGACTAGTCTTGTAATGTTCAGATCTACCATCTGGCTTTGCTTTATTTGTCTTTTCGCAGGAAAATCCCAATTGCTCTGTAATTTCTCCCAGTCCATTCAGGCTCATCTCAAACAGATCAATTCTGGTTCAAGCGCTTTCTTCAGCACACACTTAACCCAAAGCTAGCTATTAATGAATAAATGCAGCTGTGTGAGTTGCAGTATGAAAACACACACACACACACACACACACACACACACAGAGAGAGAGAGAGAGAGAGAGAGAGAATAGTAATAAATGAGGACCAACTTAAGAAAAGAACTTATTTAAGATTAATTTAAGCTCTGATAAACAATGATAATATAGTACCCTATCAAGATTTAGAAGTTAAAATGAGTCACCCTCGACTACTAATAGTTTTCAAATTATTACAGGTTTATGATTGAATATTCTCATAAATGTACAATTGTACATCATCGGTTTTTTGAAATAAGCTTTCATACTGTTGATGGATTATTAAAAATGCCATATCTTTTTCTTTTAAGTGAGATGCAGATTAAAGTAGAATATCACAAAGAATAATCAACTTGCATATTTAAAAAATATCCCAAACTGAGTAATGACAGTTTAAAATGAAATGTAATCCTCACTCCATGCAAATTAATGCATGCAAATAACCTATTTGTTTCTACGTTTTAATACACATTAGATAACCCTTTTTTGAGACAGATAATATTAGAGTTGTACAATGTTTTGGATCCAAAAATAAAAATAAGTTTCTGATTGCAGTTCTTCAACCAAACACAGCTTCACCAGGATGTTCCAGCACAGTCCAGGTTCTGTTGAAATTACTAGCACTTGTTTTATGCGTCAAAAGAATTTTATATAAATGTTGCATGCATGAAACTATAGAGGACAACCTTAATCTGCCTTTGTCTAGATATGTTAAGGATGACAACATAGTGGCTGAAAATTCAGGGAGTTGTGACCCCAACTTACAC